AATCAGGGAATTAGGGGTCCTAAAAATAGCCTTTAATGGATAATAGAGGGTACCCTAAACCCTAAACCCCAAATCCTAAACCCTGGAGGTTCAAGAGGTTGGGGGCGTTTTATGCTTGGGGTGGTTGGGGTGCATCGGGGAAATTTGAGGGTTTGCTGCTTCGGAGAGCAAGAGATTTGGGGGGTTTAGGATTTAGGGTTTAGGGTTTAGGGTTTCGGGGTGACCCGCTAGCCTACCAGCGACACTGCAGGGGCCTCTTCGGATGACAAGAGGCTTGGTGGCAGGCTTGGGGGCTTTCGGGGGTTCAGGCTCCAGCTGCAGCATTCGTCCTTTTTTTTTTTTTTGGGGGGGGGGGGGGGGGGGGCGTCTTAATCAAATAGAAGTGTTAGAGAGCTTATATGAGGCAGGGAATCTTGAAGGTGTCGACCACGCTGTGCGAGATCTTCTTCCGCAGCTTGGATGGAGATGTGGTGGGGCTCGTGTGAGCTGATTGGTCACCTGGCAGGGTTAGGGGATAGGGTTTAATTAGTGTTAAACCCTAAACCCTTTAGGGTTTAAAGTTTCAGAGTTCTCCGGACCCAGCAGCAGCTTTCTGCGTTGGCCTTTAAACTCTCTGAAACATATTTATACATAGGGTGCCTTATAAACTCATATAAGGAAAAGCACATGTCCCAAAAGCCAACCTAGTTTTGAGCGGCCAAAGCAACCCGCCTGCGTCCATCCCCATCCGTCCATTCCCCCAGCTGTGCTCTGCCTGCAAGACATGTCAGAGGACGGGCTTACCATTTCCTAAACCCTAAACCCTTTTTGAACCCTCCCTAAACCCTAAAACCCAAACCCCAAACCCAAAACCCAAAACCATTTCCTAAACTTTATACTATGTTTGTTTGAAGAGTTCAGGAGGTTCAAAGGAGCTCTTCGACTCTCCCCCGCTCTGTACGCAGATAAAAGGCTAACATGCCATTTTTTCTTGGGGAAATATACCCTTTGTAAGGTCGAAGGTTACTCTGGGTAAGGGTTTAGGGTTTAGGGTTTAGGGTTTAGGGTTTAGGGTTTAGGGTTTAGGGTTTAGGGTTTAGGGTTTAGGGATTAGGGTTGTTTAGGGTTTACATCTGAGAGACTCTCGCGACTCCGTCAGCCATGGGTTTGCCAGGCCTCATCGTTCCTCTTGTTATTTCGCTCCTGCCCCAAGGAGGTGGGGCGGAGGTAGCACCCCCTAAATTCGCCCCTAATCCCTTTGTGAACACGGTGTCAACCCCCCTAAGCCCGTAGCCCTGCCTCAGAGCGAAGTGGTTGGGGACTTAGAAGGCAGCCCTAAACCCTGCATCCTAGATCCTAAACCCTAAATTTCATCCCTTGGGCTTGTCAGAAGACCTCTACAGCCACTCCCTGAACCAGTGTACGGAAGCTACCAAACCCCAAGACCTGTAGCCAGCTAGGGTGTACAAGGTTTGGGGATCTTGGGGTTTTGGGTCTTGGGGGTTAGGGTTTAGGGTTTAGGGTTTAGGGTTTAGGGTTTAGGGTTTAGGGTTTAGGGTTTAGGGTTTAGGGTTTAGGGTTTAGGGATTGCAAGACCCCTCGCGAATCCTGTCGGGAGCGGTTGAGGCGATTCGTGGCCACCATCCGCGCGAACTCGGTACTGAACTGCGAGCCGATGATGCCTTGGCTAAGAAGGTCTGATTCAATGCTTCCTAAACCCTAAACCCTAAACCCCAAACCCGAAACCCTAATTGAAGCCAGACTCTTTACGTCAGCTGGCTCGATGACACTTGCACCGACAAACAAGAAAAGCAAAACCCTAAACCCTAAACCCTAAACCCTAAACCCTAAACCCCAAACCCTAGGGCTTCGCCATCCTTGTAGTGTAGATGAGCCCAGAGCCGGTGAAGGCAGATTTGCTTTGGATTCCGAAATCCTAAACCCTAAGCCCTTTTGCAAGAGACTTGGCCCGCCTCGGTGGTTTAGGGTTTAGGGTTTCGGGTTTAGGGTTCCGGGAGCCCTAAACCCTGAACAGTGTCGCGCCGCCGATGGGTAGGCCCAGCAAAATCGTGCCATAGAGGATGGCGAAGGCACCCACCAGCTTGCCCCCTGCGCTTGAGGCTTTTGAGTGTTGGGCCCTTGGAAGTATAGGGCTTAGGGCTTGGGGAGTTGAGTTGAGGGTTTAGGGTTTAGAGACTTTTAAGGCGTAAGGCAGGTTTGGAGTTTAGGGTTTCGTGAGTTTAGGGTTCAGGGTAATTTAGTGAACTTCTGCGAGACGGTGCGCCGACCCCTAGAAACACTTTTCTGCATCTGGACTGCGGGAGCCCCCCGGAAACCCTTTTTGAACCCTAAACCCGTTAGTTTTAAAGATGAGGCGCCAAAGCACCATAAACCCTAGACCCTAATCTCCAAGCACTGAACCCTAAACCCTCAACCCTCAATTACAACTGTACTTACAAGCCCCCTAAGTCCTCTAAGTGGGTTAGAAGTAGGCTTATGATTAAAGCTACAAGTATCCATGGACCTCCAAGTAAACCCTAAACCCTAAACCCTAAACCCTCAACCCTGAGAGCATCACCTACGGTGATGGGCGTGTTGTCGCCGTAGCCAACTGTTGTGATCGTGGCAAGGGTCCTGCGTTTAGGGGCCTTTGGGTTTAGGGTTTAGGGTTTAGGGAACGCTGGGGGAAAGCCCGAAAATCCTCAAACCGCTTAGGCTTACTTCTGCTATGGGAGGAACAGAAAGGTTCAACTTTGGTCTTCCTACAAAATATTAAACTGCCCCCCCCAAAATTCATTGTCAAATATTGGCTAAGTAGGTTGCACGTCCCTAAACTTCTGTTCCATCTCAGTAGGCTCTGTATGGCATGCCAAGGCACTTCAACACAACAGTTGCAAAGGGTTTTATGGTTTAAAGTTCTCATTTACAGAATACCATTTTCGACATCTCAGTCGTCTTGTGTGTGTGTGTGCGCATTCGCGCCCGGGCTCTACATGCAATGTCCAAGGCGCCACCAGACGGAGGACAATATGCTGGTGAAGGGGCTCATGTCGATGTACCTGGGCAAGTAGGTACATAACTACACGTAATAGACGACATGTACCCGTTTCATACGCGATCCTTCATATACACATATATATATAATGGTATAGTGTAGTATAGCATAATATAATACAACATAATATAATATAATAAAATTACTCTTATAATAAATAAATATATATATATATATATTATGCCATGACTTGACATGACATGCAATTTGACATGGCTGCCCCGCCCCCTATAAGATCCCTCAAAAGCCACCGAACTGAGATCTCCAATGGCCTCTCAGGCTGCCTCCCTAGAACCCGAGTTAGGGTTTAGGGTTTAGGGTTTAGGGTTTAGGGTTTAGGGTTTAGGGTTTAGACTCCAGGCTGAGGCGCTGGCCGGGCTCGAACATGCTCAATGCGATGCTCCAAGAGCGTGGGACGTTCATTACCCTAGGAATCAGGTAGATCCTCCAAAAACCTCTTAATTAAGGAATATACCCTAATTCATATTCAGGGTCCTTAGTATAAATTCGGGTATATTCCTTAATTAAGGGGGGTTTAGAAGATTTGGGCAGGGTATATACCCTGCGGCGACCTATAGTAACCCAGTTAGGGTTTTGGGCTTAGAGTAGACAGACTCTAATACCATTGAGGGTTCAACGCACTTTCGACTCTGGTACTTCGTACAGTCGCTTGCGTCGAAGGGGCCCATCCCAATCCGTGCGGATAAAGACCCCGCCGGAAGTCCTGGACAAACTCTCGCTGGCGGTTCCCCCATAAACCCCATAAAGCCTGTAAAATCCATAACCCACGTGAAAACCAAAAAGAAAATAAAAACCCCAAAAAGCCCTGCAAACCCGAAACCTAAACCCGAAAAACCCAAACCCCTGAAAAACTTCTAGAAACCCTACACAAAAGAAACGTAAACCTTAAAGCCTTACAAACCCGAAAACCCTACAAACCCTACCAACCTAAAAATCGTATTAAGCCGTAATCCCTAAACCCTGAACCCTAAACCCTAAAACCCTGAAACCCAAAAACCCTAAACCCGACTAAACCCTAAACCCTAAACCCTTTTTTTGAACCCAGGCTCTGCACTAAACCCTAAACCCTAAACCCTAAACCCTAAACCTTATAAGTCCTAAACCCTATAAACCCTAACCCTAAACCCTAAACCCTAAACCCTAAACCCTAAACCCTAAACCCTAAGCCCTAAGCCCTAAACCCTGCCAGGTCCTGGCTTCGTGCAGGATCGCCTCCGCAGCCCCGGAGCTGCCTGCCAGGGTCGTGAGCTGCGACTCCATCCTTGGCAGCGGATTGGGGTTTGGGGTTTGTAGGGTTTGTAGGGTTTGTAGGGTTTGTAGGGTTTGTAGGGTTTGTAGGGTTTGTAGGGTTTAGGGTTGAGGGTTGAGGGTTGAGGGTTGAGGGTTTAGGGTTTAGGGTTTAGGGTTTAGGGCTGCATGGGAGGGCTCGGGGATTTTAGGCTCATAGGCTTACTTAGGGGCTGCTTGGGGAGCAAAATGTTTCGCCATCTGCTTCTAGATGCTTGCCCCCCCTAGCTGAGAAGTAAGGTTTGTAGGGTGGTGGTGTAGGAGGGCTTCTAGGGGAGACTGCGTAGACTTACGAAGTCAAAGAGCTTCTAGGTAGGGTCTCAGATGTGGGAATTAGGACATGTGTTTCGAGCTGAAGGGCTCGGGCGCTCGGGCGCGAAGCCTTTAGGACCTTTTGCCTCGCGTGCTTGTGCGCTTCCGATGCTCCGGTCGGGTCAGTCAGAGTTTGCTCTTGAAAGCGCAGGAAGGTGTCAAACTGGCACCATCCCCGCATGGACAGGTTTAGTGTTAGGGTTTAGGGTTAGGGTTTAGGGTTTAGGGTTTAGGGTTTAGGGTTTAGGGTTTAGGGTTTAGGGTTTAGGGTTTAGGGTTTAGGGTTTAGGGCTTAGGGCTTAGGGCTTAGGGCTTAGGGTTTAAGAAGGCACAGTTCCGCTTGACTTCAGACGGGCTGCCGCAGCACCAAAGACTCAGGGTACCAGTCGCCACGCTCCACCGTGAACATGAGGGCGCTGAAGACGATCAGTGCGAACACCTCAGCTGACGGGGCTCGACATAAAAACATGGACCCAGACCCCTGGGAGGATCCAAAAAATAGATCCCCTTAAGGGTTCCTAAAAATGACCCAATAGTAGTATAGGGTACGGTTTGGGGGTTCTACTTTTTGGATCCTCCCAGGGGTCTGGGGAGTGGTTTCAAGCGGCTACAGACTAAGTGCGACGCATCTGAACAGATGGCTTTAAAATTGTTGGCAGGGATTGTAGGTTCTCCGGCCGACGTTGCGAAGCAATCCATGGTGTCCTATAGGGGTTGGAGATTCCTCCTCTTGCAGGAAGAGGACGGCCACATATCCTGCACGACCCTAAGCCCCTGACCGTATAACCCCCAAATTCCAAACCCCCAAACCCTCAACCCCCAAAAAAAACCCAAAACAATAACGCACGCAGGGAAGCCAGCAGTGCGGTTTTCGGATCTAGGGTTCGGGTTTAGGGCTTATAGATTTACGGATTTTTAAGGTTTCGGGTATGGGGTGTGGGATGGGTTTGGGGTTTAGTAACGCAGCCAGGAAGCCAGGAGCGCGGTTGTAAGGATGAATGCTGGAAAGGCCTGAACGAACACGTTCCTGGGGGGACGCTGTGAGTTCCAAGCGCGACAGCCCCAAGGTGAGCGCATGCCAACGAGGCACCAAACCCATCGAAGCCCAGACCCTAACCCCTAACCCCTCAACCCCTAACCCTCACCCCCTAAACCCCTAAATCCCTAAACCCCTAAACCTTAAATCCTAAACCCTAGACCCAAGCCCTAAACCCTAAACCCTAAACCCTAAACCCTAAACCCTAAACCCTAAACCCTAAACCCTAAACCCTAAACCCTAAACCCTAAACCCTAAACCCAAGCAAAAACAAACACCAAAAAAGCCTCCTCTAGGTTGGCCCTGAAGAAATCCTTCGACAAAGCCCTATCAGTGATGTCTTCCTAGACCACTGGAAGCGATATCCCAGTTTAGGGTTTAGGGTTTGGGGTTTGGGGTTTGGGGTTTGGGGTTTAGGGTTTAGGGTCTAGGTTTAGGGTTCAAGGTTAGGTAGGGTTTCGGGTACTTCTAACCCCAACTATGTCTGTACTTATAACCTACTTAGCGGACTTGGGGGGGGGGGGGTTATAAGTGTAGTTATAATTTGGGGTTCAAAGTACCCATGAACCTCTAAGAAGGCCCCAACCATCCTGACTCTTAAGCCACAAGCCCCACACTACCCAATCCCCGAACCCCAAGTCCCCATAAGGGTTTAGGGTGTAGGGTTCTTAGGCTCTTAGGGTTCAGGGTTTAGGGTTTAGGGTGTAGGGTTTTTAGGGTTTAGGGTTTAGGCTTCTCTGCACTGTCTCTGGCGTGCGAGCAACTGAGCGTGAACTGCACTCTGCCAACGGACCCTAAACCCTAAACCCTCTAAACCCTAAACAGGGGTTTAGGGTTTCGGGTTTAGGGTTTAGGGTTTAGGGTAGCAGTTGCCGCCCGCGCGTCGCTAGGAGGTGCTGGGCGTCGCTCAGCTGGCCGAGATCGGAGTTCAGTATCTGAACCAGCTTGAAGATCCTCTCAAGGGGTTCAGACCCCCTGAGGTTGCACGCCTAAAGGTCCCCTTTGATATACTTCCAATATGGCCCTTATATTCTTTCAGGGATCCTGAAAAAGGGACCCCCAAAACCCAAAATTGCGACCTCAAGGGTCCAAGGTGGAACCCCTTGATCCTCCCCCCCAGCTCCCCATCCACAACACTAAACACCCGAAAACACCCTAAGCCCTAGAAACCCTGTAGCTAAACTAAAGGCAGCGCGGGGAAAGTAAAAAAGTCCAAAGGGTTCTTGATCAGAAGACCCGACACAGAAGAAGGGTTGGAGCTTCCTACGGTAGGGTTTGGAGAGGGTTATTCCCAAAGGATCATTCAGCCCCGCAAGCAATGGCGAAACCTAACAAGAAGTCCCAAATTGCTACCAGCTGGTCTTCAGGAACTGTCAGGTCATAGTCAATTCAGAGTTGAGACCTAGGAACTGCTGCGAGCACAGGCAGCACCACACGCTGGGTCACTGAACCCCTACAGACCCTAAGCCCCAAACCCATCATCAATCCCTGAACTCAAACAGGGTAGGAAACACGTATGAAAACTGACTTTGTGCCTGTGGTTGTTCTTTTTGAGAAGTAGAATGATACAACACTCGCATCGAGGTAAACATGACTATATGCCTGTTTAGGAGTTTACGAACATATAGGGGACCCCTAATATAGACCCAATAAGGTAAACATGACTATATGCCTTTTTAGGAGTTTACGAAAATATAGGGGACCCCTAATATAGACCCAATAAGGTACCCTAATTTTGGAGACCCCCATGTACGGCACCCTTACTTTTATCCTACGTTTATCCTGTTACCCTTATGCCTGAATATGGCCCCTAGGCACCCCAACAAGAACTCCCTACAAAACAGAAACCCTACTCAAACAGAACGCCACCAACCAATATGATACCTACTTTTCTATGCAGAAACAAATAGCCCTAAACCCTAAACCCTAAACCCTAAACCCTAAACCCCAAAACCCGTCCCCAGAACTCCTGCTCACCCGGAGCAGCCGAAAGAGCCGCAGCCAGATGAAGTTACTGTCCGAGCTGGTGGCGAACCAAACCTCCACAGGTTAGGGTTTAGGGTTTAGGGTTTAGGGTTTAGGGTTTAGGGTTTAGGGTTTAGGGTTTAGGGTTTAGGGTTTAGGGTTTAGGGTTTAGGGTTTAGGGGTTTAGGGTTTAGGAGTTTAGGGTTTAGGGTTTAGGGATTAAGGGCTTCGACTCTCACGCTCGCACGCGGCAGGGTTTAAGGGTTTTTTTCTCCTTAGTACACTTCTCGATGTGTGCCGGGTTTCGGGTTTAGGGATGTTAAGGGCGACAATTCAACTTCTTCGGGGCGTGCTTCAGGGACTCCCAGCCCCTGATGAGGGTCTGAAGAGACACCCCCCGCGCCCCCCCCCCCCCCCAAAAAAAAAAAAAAAAAAAAACTCCTCAGCTCCAAGCCCAAGCTTAGGGTTTAGGGTTTAGGGTTTAGGGTTTAGGGCTTAGGAAACAGCAAGAAGGACACGGGCACCTCAATCCAATATGGGAGCACTGTGAAGAGGTCAACGACTGCAGCCGGCTGCTTCCAGAAGCTCCACCAGTTGGATGCGCACTTGAAGCCTGCTTGGAGGTTTAGGGTTTAGGGTTTAGGGTTTAGGGTTTGGGGTTTAGTGTTTAGGGTTTCGGGTGTAGAGTTTTTGGTTTAGGGCATATGGGGTTAAAATCAAGTAGGGTAAGTCTAGATGCAACTGGTTTTAACTTGCTGGCACCCCGTTTGTACACCAACATCTCTTCAAATGGGCTAGGTTGCCCAGTAACCTAGGATTGTAAAAGGGGCCCTTTGTTTGCTTGAAGGGGTTAGAAGGGAACCTTAACCCCCCCAAACCCTAAACCCTAAACCCTAAACCCTAAACCCTAAACCCTAAACCCTAAACCCTAAACCCTAAACCCTAAACCCTAAACCGAATAAGACGCTACTGGGCATCCTAGTGGGAAGCCCCAAAAGGGACGTGGCGGTGCCACAGGACTCTAGGCCCTAAACCCTAAACCCTAAAACCTAAATCCTAAACCCTAAATCCTAAACCCTAAACCCTAAACTTCTGAAGCCAAGGGTCGGCCCAGCTCCTGCTCCGAGAGCTCGGACGCATCCTCCGTCTTGGCAGTGACGGTGAAGACCGTGTCCTCAGCCAGCTCTAAACCCTAAACCCTAAACCCTAAACCCTTTTTTTGAGCAACGGACTTTGGAGGCTAACCCTAAACCCTAAACCCTAAACCCTAAACCCTAAACCCTAAACCCTAAACCTACACCCTAAACCCTAAACCCTAAACCCTAACCCTAAACCCTTACACAACCAGGTACCAGACGCTTCCAGCCAAAAAATCTGCATCGGCCATGGATCGAGAAGGAAGCGCCGATTCAGCAGCTTCATGCGTGCGAAGGGAGCCGTGAGCATCCTGTGTGGGGGGTGGTGGGGCGGGGGTGGTGGGGGGGCTCCCTCATGTAGGGTTCAGGGTTCAGGGTTCAGGGTTCAGGGTTCAGGGTTCAGGGTTCAGGGTTCAGGGTTCAGGGTTTAGGGTTTAGGGTTTAGAGTTTAGGGTTTAGGGTTTAGGGTTCAGGGTTCAGGGCAGGGAGGCCCCTCATAATATTTTTTTAGCCTGCCCAAAAAAAAGACCAGCAAGGTTGGGTTGCACAGCTGCCGCCAGCATACCCTGGGCACATGGTCTACACTAACTAATAGTTCAGGAACCTGTACCCAAAGATACGATCGTTCGGTTTAGGGTTTAGGGTTTAGGGTTTAGGGTTTAGGGTTTAGGGTTTAGGGTTTAGGGTTACTCTACTTACAACTACGGGGGCCCCTCCTGGAAGGCCCCACGTCAGCGATCATCGTCTCTTTAGGTCTTGCTTACCACACGGACACTGCTGACACCGAGGCACCACTTTGGGCTGAAGGAAGTTTGGGGTCTCTCCGAATTCCTTTTAGGGTTTAGGGTTTAGGGTTTAGGGTTGGCCCTAAACCCTAAACCCCTAGGGCAGTTCAGGATTTCTCGATTTCTCCCAGAGAAACCTGCCAAGTCAGAGTGCAGATGAAGAGGCAAGCAACCACGAAGCAACGGCTCATCTACCGAAGATTCTCACAGGCCAACCACCCAACCAGTCATAAAGGTGCTTCTTTGGGGTTTACGACATTGGGGCCACCTTATTGGGGGTACTTAAGGAGAAGGGGATCCTACTGTTTGGGGGTCGATATTGGGGGGTCCTACTACTTATCGAAAAAACCCTCCATACTGGCAATGAGGAGAATGCTTCACTTCTCGTGTAATTAGGTGTGGGGCGGGCTTTCGTGTGCTTAGGTTTAGGGTTGGTTTGGAGACTTCAGGATTTCAGATTCAAGTCCTTGTCAGGAACTCCACGGTGAAAATGATAACGCACGTCTCGTCGACCTGTCAAGTCGGAGGTGGCCCCTTGCTGGGCCGAGATTGCACATGTAGGGTAGGGTTTCTACCCTAAACCCTAAGCCCTAAGCCCTAAACCCTAAGCCCTAAACCCTGAACCTAGTTTGGGGTGTTGCTCTTAAAGGCTACGAAGGTTTTAGGGTTGAGGGTCCTAAATAGCCACGCGAAGGTCCCACCTCTCTGCATTCCGAGGTGCTTGGGGTTTGGGAACTAGGAATTGTCTAAAGTCATTTCCGCGAAAGATCGAAGCTTCGAAACCGAGCATGTGGTCTTGTACCTAAACTCTAAACCCTAAACTCTCAACACTAAGCCACCACCGTATACAATGAGACTCGGAGCCCTTCCAAAGCCTTGAGGGCCCTAGATTCGACCTTAGTGGCCAATGACGGGGCTTTGGGGGTTTCGGGTTGGAGCCCTTGAAACTTAGAGGCTCATGGTTAGTCAGAAGTAGGGTTGTAATTAAGCACAACCAAATAAGGCTAACCTGTACTGGCCCGGCTTACAACCTGTATTTGCCCTGCCAATAACTCTACTTATAAGTACCCACGAACCTCCAAGTGACGCCCCGTGCCCATAGGCCACGACCATGAATAGTTTGGAGGCTCAGGTAAGCCCTATACTTTTGTTATTGAACCCAGACTGGACGGCTCCCTATACTATACCTAAACCCTAAACCCTACTCAACTCTAAACCCTAACCCTTATTGCACCCAGACTGGACGACTCCCTATACTTAAACTCGAAATCCTAACCCCAAAACCCCAAAACCCGAAACCCGAAACCCTAAACCCTAAACCCTAAACCCAACCACATAACATGAGCCAGCCGGCCCCTTGCATCCACGGCAAAGGCTCTGGCTCGCATCCCGAGCAGGGGACCTGGGGGGTTTTATGGTCTACAGAGTCTAGGGTTTAGGGTTTGGGGTTTAGGGTTTGGGGTTTGGGGTTTAGGGTTTGGGGTTTGGGGTTTAGGGGAACTTGGGGACTGCTGGGCTTCATGGGCTTCGAAGACCGAAGGATTTCGGCAGAAATATCAGTCGCCCTGCATCCGGAGCTCCAGCTTGCAATTTAGGGTTTAGGGTTTAGGGTTTAGGGTGTCTGCCTGGACCTTCATTGCAGCCATTGCAGTTTCGCCTTGCTTTGCACCCAAACTCCTGAAGTCAGCTGTAGTTTCGCCCGTGTTTAACCCAGACTTGTAGTTTCACCCTAAACCCTAAACCCTACACCCTAAACCCTAAACCCTGAACCCTAAACCGGGCTTCTTGATGCTGTGCTCTATAGGGTTTTGTTTTTTTTCCCCGGGAAAGAACTACAATTCGAGGGTTCTCGCGAGGTACTGCGCCGCCACACGCATCTCTTGGAATACTGCCCTAGACCCTAAAGCCTAAACCCTATACTATACCCCAAAAAGCCTAAGCCCGATCCTGCTGCAAAGTAGAAATTTCCAGGGATGTGTTGCAACACGCGTCTGTATGACATAGGGCGCAACCTTGCTTCCTTTACCTGGGTTGCTCACATGAAGTGCCAACTCTTGTGATGTTTTGCACACTCTCTGGCTATGCGATTTTTAGGTTTCGGGGTTTGCGGGTCAGGTAGCCCTAAACCCTACACGCGAAACCCTAAACCCGAAACCCCCTGAAAGCGCTTCCAAGCGGCCATAGAGAACCAGGGCATTGTACCTGCCATCCAGATGGCAATGCTGATCACGATGGCTGCTACCATGATGGCGCTGACGGCCTCGGGGATGGCGCTTTAGGGGGGGTTGAGGTTTTTAGGGGGGTTTAGGGTTTAGGGTTTAATTAGGGTTTAGGGTTTACAAACCTATATCCTTAGGGGAACTGAATGGTAAGACAGGATTTCTGGCTTCTTCTTGTTCTTCCGGGGTGGATGGCCCGTCATCCGCAGGAAAGATCTACAAAACGCACGAACGGTCATACCCAAAACGCCTTGACTGAAGCACCTCCGACCCTACAAGCCCTAGACCCTGCCTAAACCGCAGCAGAGTGACGTCTTAAACCTTAAAACTCTAACAACTGAACTTCCCGAGTGGGCCTCCAGTCATGACTCCTTTGGAACCCAGAACTGAGGCCCATGCCGGATGCACCAGCCAAAGACTCACAACTGAAGCAAGCAGGCACTCGTGGCCCACCAAATCTGTGGCTATGCCTCCTATAGACCCTAAACGCCTAAAACCCTTAGCCTCCTAACCCTAAACCCTAAACCCTAAACTCTAAACCCTAAAACTCGAACCCCAATTGCTCCTCCGGGCGGCTCGGGAAACTAAGCTGGAGGTGCCCCCCACGTCCACGGTGAAGTACAGGCGCTCGCAGAAGTTCATCTTGACGAAGAAGGCCTGGTGGTATCTAGTAACCCTAAACCCTAAACCCTAAACCCTAAACCCTAAACCCTAAACCCCTAAACCCCTAAACCCCTAAACCCCTAAACCCCTAAACCCTAAACAATCCCTATTAAGGACTCTTGGTTGTATCTAGGGTGTCACCCCATACCTGGAGGGTCAGGGTACTTGGAAGCCCAATTATAACTGTACTAAAAGCCTACTTAGGGGACTTGGGGGGTTTTAAGTATCTAGGATGGACCCTGAAACCCTCTGAAACATACTCAAGAAGGGAAGATGTAACATGTCCCAAGGGCCAATGGACCTTGAAACCCTATGAAATATACTCAAGAAGGGAAGATGTAACATGTCCCAAGGGCCCATCTAGGTATGTTGAGATTGTCAGGCTTAGGCTTAGTCTTGTACAGAGTCATACATTGACATACTGGTTGCATTGGGGGTGGTGTGTCATATCTGGTGCTTACATGCCATTGACAAAATGGCTATGGGGAACGTCCGAAGGGCTGAGCCGAACCGAAGAAGCACATGTAAGGTTTAGGGTTTAGGGTTTAGGGTTGAGGGTTTAGGGTTTAGGGTTTAGGGTTTAGGGTTTAGGGTTTAGGATTTAGGGTTTAGGGTTTAGGGCTTAGGGTTTAGGGTTTAAGGTTTAGGGTTTAGGGTACTGTCGCATTAGCGCCTGCAGGAGGTCTCTGCTGTTCCACTTGACTTTGCCGATGTCTCGTTCGGAGTGTTCCTGAAGTGGCGGTCTTAGGGTTTAGGGTTTAGGGTTCAGAGCTTAGGGATTCGGGTTCAGGGTTCAGGGTCTAGGGTTTAGGGTTCAGGGTTTAGGGTTTAGGGATTCAGGGATTCAGGGTTTAGGGTTTAGGGTTTAGGGCTTAGGGACTCTCGGGATGCTAGGGTCTGGAGTCTTCGGTTTTAGGGTTTTTGGGGGGTCCAGAGTCTAGGGCCTGCCGGGGTGTAGGGTTGAGTGAGAAGGGTGCAGCCACCTCCTCTTTTCGAAGCTTCGTGGGCTTAGGGGTTTCGTGTTTAGGGTGTAAGGGCTTAGGGTTTAGTGTTTGATTAGGGGTTTAAGGCCGCAGCAGGAGCGCTGAACCTCGGGTACGGAGGCAAGGCGCCAGTGAGTCGACCAGATTCAGGCGATCAACCTGCCAGGGGGCCCTATACTCGGCCTCACAAGGGGCTTAGCCAGAATCCTAAACCCAAACCCTAACCCCCAAATCCCCAAACCTTGTTTTCCTGTAGGGTCACTGCATGATTTATGGCTAATCCAACAAAACAAAGGAACAAAGGAACTAGAATTGGGAGGGGGGGGGGGGGTGGTTTGGGACTCAACTACGCTCGGTTGTGGGGTTGGAGCGTTTGGTTCAAAGCTTCCAGCTCTTGAATAGTGGTTTAGGGTTTAGGGTTTAGGGTTTAGGGTTTAGGGTTTAGGGTTTAGGGTTTAGGGTTTAGGGTTTAGGGTTTAGGGTTTAGGTGGAGCCAGGTCTGGCTCAAGAAGCGGTTACAAGAAGGGGCCAAACAACTGTTACAAGTAGAGTGATAAGGGCCCTACATTAGGGTTATAAGGATCCTATCTTGGGGTTTAGGGTTTAGGGTTTAGGGTTTAGGAAGTGTTTGTATAGTTTGTATAGTAAGGGGGCCTCTCCTTGTATCTATGCAGAGTCCACCTGTCCGAAACTGTCTCTATACAGCGCTAAAGGCACGGGAATTCTTCTTCTGCTGACATCCCTAAACTCTAAACACTAAGCCCAAAAAAACCTTGTGCGTTGACGCTGCATGTGGGGTCGGGTAAACTTTAAGCCCGGAACGGCATCCACAATCGACGTTTGTCCTTTCATCTGGGGCCATTTGCCTGCTAGGCCACAATCGAACCGAAACCCTAAGCCTGCACCCCAACCCTAAACCCTAAACCCCAAACCCCCTAAATGCCCTAAAAGCAACAAACCCCTCGAGCCTGCCCTCTTTGCCTAAACCCGTAGGCCCGAAACCCAGGCGTTAGGGTTTAGGGCTATAGTCCCCTCCCCCTAATACGTTACTAAACCCCTGAAACTTTTGCCCTAAAACCCTAAACCCTAAACCCTAAACCCCAAACCCCAAACCCTAAACCCTAAACCCTAAAACCCTTAAGAGCCCCAAGGACCGAAAGCCGGCCGCCTCGTTGCGCCCCACGCGGAACTCGGCATCGAAGCGGCGCACGGCGCCCAAGATGACGCCGGGAGGAAGCTCTCCTATAGGAGGGTTTAGGGTTTAGGGTTTAGGGTTTGGGGTTTGGGGTTTAGGGTTTAGGGTTTAGGGTTTGGGGTTTGGGGTTTGGGGTTTGGGGTTTGGGGTTTAGGGTTCAGGGTTACAGTGCTCTCCTAGACCCTGGAGTAACGAAGGAATAAAAAGGGTACCCTTTTTGGATTGAAGGGGATCCAGATGACGCTGTTGGTGTTTTTTTGGTTGGGTAGGGTTTAGGATTTAGGGTTTAGGGTTATGGGGTTAAGGGGGTATCATACCACTAGGGTTTGGGGCTCTGTCGGGTGTGAGTTTAGGGGTTTAGGGTTTAGGGGTTTAGGGTTTAGTGCTTGGAGAGTTAGGATTTGAGGGTTTCCACGCTCGCACTTGCGCAAGGGCAGTTAGAGCAACTGGTCGACACTGTCGACACTTCACACGCGGAAGGTCTAAAAACCCAAAGCCCTTACACCCTAATCCCAACCATCCCTAAAGAAGCCCCATAAACCCCCGTGTCCTTAAACCCTGAATCTTCTTCTACCCTTACATCCGCCCTAACCCTGAACCCTGAACCCTAAACCCTAAACCCTAAACCTGAAATCTCATCTCGGTCTGGCCGCCCGGAGCATCGGAGGAGTAGCGGGCCTCCAGCTTGAGGAAGCCACGCCTGGGCTGAAGGCGCGTGGTCTCTTGACTCTTGATCAACAGATCTTAGGGTTTAGGGTTTAGGGGTCTACTTAGGGTTTAGGGTTTAGGGGTGTAGCTTCCGTCTGGGCAACCTCAAACCCGAAACACTACACCAGAATTCCGCTTATCCCTGCTTTGGAGTAGACCCTGGAAAAAAAGTATATACTTTTTAGGTATAAGTAGCTATAATAGGAACCCAGAACCAAAAAAAAAGTATTAAAGTATAGTACTCCACCCTAAACCCTAAACCCTAAACCCTAAACCCTAAACCCTAAACCCTAAACCCTAAACCCTAAACCCTAAACCCTAAACCCTAAACCCAGTTATTGTCAGGGTCAAGAGTTGAGAGAGAGCTCGAGGGTTCTGCGGGCTGGTTCCTGTTTGCCATTCAGCGCTTGTACCTTGTGGGATGTTTCCGCTGATACTAACGGTCCTTTTAGGGTTTAGGGTTTAGGGTTTAGGGTTTAGGGTTTAGGGATTGGGCTTACAGTAACCCCTGTTGGGGTCCCTGTTACTATTAAGGACTGTTCGTATAAGGGGGAACGTCCTAAATTTTGGGGAGTTGAGGCTGTGGAGAGTTTAGGGTTTCGGGCTTAGGGTTAGGGATCTGGGCGATGCTAATCAGATGTTGTCCTGCGCCTGCCGCCAAACAAGCGAACATCAAAGACCAGCAAACCCTGGAACCCTAAACCCTAAACCCTAAACCCTGAAAGGCTACCAAACTACCTTGGAACTTCGCTCGCACGCAGACATTCCGTGAAACGAGTCCACCAGCTCAACAACAACAGCAACCTAAACCCTAAACCCTAAACCCTAAATAGACCCTAAACCCTAAACCCTAAACCCTAAGCCCTAAGCCCTAAGCCCTAAGCCCTAAGCCCTAAGCCCTAAGCCCTAAGCCCTAAAGCCCAAACCCCCCGATCCCACCTGAGGGTGCTCTGTGGGACGTGATAGGACTTTGCGGCGCAACAGCGGCTTCCTTCACGCCATAAAGGTTCGGTTGATGCTCTGCCCAAATCTTCCAAAACCCCTTAATTAAGGAATATACTCTAACTTATACTAATGACCCTCAATATGAATCAGGGCATATTCCTTAATTAAGGGGTTTTGGAGGATCTGGGTGAGTGTATCCCTATGCTTCCAGGGTCCTGGGTTCATAGGGCCCATCGTCTTAATTGCTGAGTTCATAAGCCCCCAAAAAAGTGTACACTTTCAATTCTATAGGGGATTGTAGTATCCCACAAAAGTGTAAAGTGTACTCATTCAGCTACTAAGTAGTTAGGTTAGGCAACCACAACCCCGTGTTTTACCTGGATCTCTACATGCACATGTCACAAAACCCTACGACCGAAAGAGCTCCAAGCTGCCGCGATATGATCCCACGCGCCACCGGCATAAAAGCCCCATAAACACCCTCAAACAACAAGCTGAACGCTAAACCCTTTCGGCCGCTAAATCATTTACCGTTTAGATCCCCTAAATCCCTTAAGAACAGGACCCCCAAGCCCTATCCGCCCTAGATCTCCAAACCAGACCCCACCCTAAACCCTAAACCCTCACCCCCAACCCCAAGAAGTCCCCCGATCGCCAGGTATTTCAAGGCCCAGATCCTCCAAAGCCCCTTAATTAAGGAATATACCCTACTTCATATTAAGGGTCCTTAGTATTATAAGTTAGGGTATATTCCTTAATTCAGGGGTTTTGGAAGATTTGGGCAGACCCTAGCCCAAAACCCTAAGAGTCTCCCGATCCCCCAGGTATTTCAAGGCCGCACAAAAACAAGGATGACCTGAGCCCTACATGTAGGGGCCCCCTAGTCATAAACAGGGTTATAAGGGCACTAAATTGGGTTATAAGTACTGCTATGTAGGTTATAACTCCCTTAACTAAGCTTAGTATAGTAAGGGAGCCCCTAAACCGTAAACCCTAAACCCTAAACCCTAAGCCCCGACCTGCAAGCGCCCTGAGAATCTGAGACTCGCCCCCCAGCTTCCTTTTCTTGGGCTCAGGGTCGAGGATTCCCAGCTTCCGTTCTCCTAAACCCTAAACCCTAAACCCCAAACCCTAAACCCTAAACCCTATAAACCCCAAAACCCTAGACTCCTAAACCAGGTTTCGGGTTTAGGGTTTAGGGTTTAGGCTGATGTAGAGTTTAGGGTTTAGGCTGAAGCCCTCAACCCTCAACCCTTTATAAAACCCTCCTTACGGCGCCTTGGTTGTCCGCGTCCCCTCCAGAGAAGCTGGTCGTGGACATCGATGAGCCTCGGGCTCTCAACTGGGTGGGTTTAGGGTTTAGGGTTTAGGGTTGAGGGTTCAGGGTTCAGGGTTCAGGGTTTAGGGTTCAGGGTTTAGGGTTTAGGGTTTCTGTTGGTTGGGTTTAGGGTCTAGGGCCTGAAGCCCTGGGGACTCTGGGCCTGTGCCAGGTGTTTTGCGGGGTTGACATTGGGGCCTGGAAGAGAGGCTGCGGGATAAGGACTGGCTGGGTGGGTTTGGGTTTTTGGGTTTTGGGTGTTGGGTTTTGGGTTTTGGGTTTAGGGTTTAGGGTTTAGGGTTTAGGGTTTAGGGTTTAGGGTTTAGGGTTTAGGGTTTAGGACTGGCGTGAGCTTCGAAACCCTAAGCCGAATACCTGCTAGAGGTTGGCCCTTTTAAGCCCTTTGAGAAAAATGAGAAACTCTTCCCCAACAAGAGCTTTCCAACCCAGTTACCCTAAACCCTAAACCCTAACCCTAAACCCTAAACCCCAAACCCTAAACCCTAATAATCAAATCCGTCGTCCAAGCCGCGCATGAGAATCAGATTCCCTCCAGTGCTCAGGTAGTCGGCAGAGCCGCCAGGGTTGATTACCAGGCCTGTTGAGGCTGAGTGCTAAAGAGCAAAGAACTGAAACTTTTCTAAGGTCTAACTTCGAGATTCATAGGGAGTCTGTGTTTGCTTTCGAGTTGCTAACCTAACCCGGCCTGGAGGGCTTCGGACAAACCCTAAACCCTAAACCCTAAACCCTAAACCCTAAACCGTAAACCCTAAACCCTAAACCCTAAACCCTAAACCCTAAAGGTTTGGGGGGTTGGGTCTCGGGGCTTGGGAGGCTCAGGGTTGATACGCCTGGTGCCGTGCTGCCCAGGATACCAACAAAAGCCTAGCATGTGCTCAAGAACCCCCAAAGAATAGGAAACAGTAGTGCCTAAACATATCTCGCCCTTATAAGGAAGAGTGTGTTTCATGTTTATTATGTATGGGTTCTTAATCCCCAAAAGCGAACCTCTGTGCCTTAGCATCTCAAGGGAGACACCGGCCATGCGTAACAGTCGGTGGTGCGTGTGCCTACCAAAAACCCGAACCCCGAGAGGGGCTGGTCGAGATACAGACCCTTTGCAACAGCAGCAACTTAAACAGCAGCAACTTAAATGAGAAGTCCCTTAACTACAGTGAGTATGGTACAGGGGGCCCCTCTCTCTCCGTAGCCCTAAACCCTAAACCCAAACCCTAAACCCCAATCCCAAACCCTACCCCCTAACCCTAAACCCTAAACCCTAAACCCTAAACCCTAAACCCTAAACCCTAAACCCTAACCCTAAACCCAAACCCTAAACCCTCACAACTGCCATGAGTTCAAATGGCAGCCCAGGCGCTTCCGAAGTGCCGCACCGAGCTGCGAATTCGCTCCACCATCCCTCCGTTGCCTCCATTCCTGCCGGAGGTTTAGGGTTTAGGGCTAGGGTTTAGGGTTTAGGGTTTAGGGCTAGGGTTTAGGGTTTAGGGTTTAGGGCCCCAAGCAGGGCTTAACAGGCTTCGGCCCGGCACGGAAGGTCGGAAGGTTGCAGAGGCGTTTTTGGTTGAAATGGGGCTTCAGGGTTTAGGGTTTATAGGGTTTAGGGTTTAGGGTTTAGGGTTTAGGGTTTAGGGTTTAGGGTTTAGGGCTGAGGATTTAGGGTTTAGTGCGGGGAGTCCTTGGCGTCGCGGGAACATCCGCGCCATCAGTGTGGTCGAAGTCCTCTCCACCGCGGCACTGTTGCAAGAGAAACCGGCCTCGTCTTTGTTGACTACGCATCTTTCCTGCTCAATATCTACAAAACCTTTGCAGACACAAAATATCCATGAAGTAGGAACTACAGCGTTCTTGCTCCGAAAGGATCCCTTTTCTCCATCCTAAACCCTAAACCCTAAACCCTAAACCCTAAACCCTAAACCCTAAACCCTAAACCCTAAACCCTAAACCCTAAACCCTAAACCCTAAACCCTAAACCCTAAACCCTAAGCCCTGCCCCTCCCGGCCCAGCTCCTGGCCCATCCATGAGCTGACCGATGTCATCACGGACGTCCGCATCTTGCGCAAACGCCCAGGCCTAGCAGGCCAGTGGCTTCAAAACCCCGTAAATTTAGGGTTCAGGGTTTAGGGTTTAGGGTTTAGGGTTTAGGGTTTAGGGTACCTTAAGCTGTATTAGGGTTCCTATGGGGATTTAAGGGATGATCCTCAAATAAAGGGCGTCTGGGAGTCTCTGGGATACTCGACTCAAACAGGTTTCCACACTTACACTCGGAGCAGGCCTTGACAGTGTGAGGGTTTACTCAGATCGTTGATCTTGGGTGGGGGCTGCGGGCGGCTGGGTGAGGGTAAGGGGAAAGAGGAAGGAGCACTGTCCCTTTGGTGCAAGAACCTCGGCAGCCACAAAGCCCGTCCTTGGCTGCCCGCAAAACCTCAGCACTGCTTCTGGTGCTCGGCAGCAGCTGGCATGGCATCACTCCCCCATCGCTGGCAATACAGGAGCCTTTAGGGTTTAGGGTTTAGGGTTTGGGGTACAAAGCGCATTCCCTTTTGCAATCCTGATCTGCTCCAAACTTGAACTACGATAAGTAATAAGTGCCGCTAAACAGATAGGCGGCTCATGGTTCAAAGGTGTCAGGTCTTAGTGGTACGTTGGGTGGGTGGGGGGGTGCTTGTGGCCTATTACTTTGATTTGGGAAGTGCCGGCCGGACTGAGTTGAACGCTTTGAACGCTTGCGTTCCTTTCCTTGTGCCGGCAAAGAAGGGTCCCGGCAAGTTCATGAAAAAAAAGGTTGTCAAATCTTGGGCCATGTATGCAAGGCAGCAGATGGAAAACAAGAAGTCAACAATTCAACGACCATCCGATGAGTTACCCTAGCCCTTGCGCTCATAGGCGTTCGGCATCGACAATGACTCGTTTGCCGAGTCCTGGTCCCAAGACCTTAAACCCTGAACCCTGAACCCTAAACCCTGTACCCGGAAATCCACAAGTTCACCTTCGGGATTGTGTCAGACAACAGATGATGTGCAGCGCGACCTGCATGTCCTTGCAGCGCGAAGCCCTTGCCAAGTTATTTGCAGATCCCGACAGCAGCCCTTCGTAGCTTGGAATCCCTGTCCCCAAAACCCTAAACCCTACACCCTAAACCCTAAACCCTAAACCCTAAACCCTAAACCCTAAACCCTAAACCGAACCACGACCAAGCCCTGCTTCATAACCCTACTTCCCCCTGCACGTGCAAGTTTTGGATATTATGTCTGGGGAACTTGTACAATCCCTAAACCCCAAACCCCAAACCCCAAACCCCAAACCCTAAACCCTAAACCCTAAACCCTAAACCCTAAACCCTAAGCCCCAGTTTGGAGAGCTTCCCGGCTTCAAGACTGACGAGTAGCTCAGGACGTGAGCCCATCCCTACTCTAAGGCTCAAAGGACTCTTGCTGTCCGGGTTGCCTTCATCAGACTGTCGGGCCCTAAACCCTAAACCCTAAACCCTAAACCCTAAACCCTAAACCTTAGATATGGGAGCGTATGAACCCTGCTCACCGGCCTGGTGCGCCTCCTGGTGAGGCGGAGCCTTCGGAGCTATTGGGAGGTGGGGGGGGGGAAGGGTTTAGGGTTTAGGGTTTAGGGTTTAGGGTTTAGGGTTCAGGGTTCAGGGTTCAGGGTTTAGGGTTTGAGGGGGGGGGGGGGGGGGGGTTAAGGCTTGAGGAAAGGGAGGAGCGCAGGAAGACGGAAGGGTATCGGCTTCAAATTTAGGCAAAGAGAACGACGACGACATACAACCCCCCAACGCAAGAGTAAATGCACACCAGTCATAGTTCAACGGCACCACAACCCCTTTTTTGAATCTATCCCTGGCACCCTATAAGCCCTAAACCCTATTTACAAGCTCTTTGGACTTGGCAAGTCTACTTAGCATTCCCCATAAGCCACCTTACTAACCCGTCTCCGCAAACCCCAAACCCCAAACCCCAAGCCCCAAGCCCCAAGCCCCAAGCCCCAAACCTCAAACCCTAAACCCCCCTCCCCCATTTTGATCCTACACGGGCATGACTACGCAAGTGGCTTGCCTCCCGGGGAGCCAATGGGGCCTGACATCTCCAGATTTGAAGACTAGTCTGCTACATGTTGTCAGAATAGTATGATACTCTTATACTCTTATATGAAGAAGAAGAATATGAGTATGCTGTTATATTGATGTACTATTCCAAAAAATACTATTGCACTACTGCATTATGGTAGTGTTGTATTAATATATTCTCATTATAGTATTGTATGGTTATATTTCTTTAGTATATTATATTATACATTGTACATTATGCATTATACATTACATACTATATATTAGATATTATATGTTCTAGATTATAAATTATTTATTATATATGAAATATTGTATATTATGTATTATATAGTCTACGTATTATATATTATACAGATTATATAGCACAACATTATGTACCTATGTTAGTATATATTTGGAAGTGATCTTTACTGGTTCGTTCTTGATTTTCGCATTCCTCTATTGGAATAATACTATAATCTTATCTTATTGCAATCTCTTGTTATTACACTTGAAATCGCTACTGTAGTGTTGTCACTCTGATAATATCACATTATTCGTTTCTCGTATTTGTCGCATGATGTTTCCTATTCTGCAATGATATTACTCAAAGGTTTAGGGTTTAGGCCTTAGGGTTTCATTGTTGTATAATGCTATGTCGTTGGGCTTGTGGGTTCCGGACATGCAGGTCTCAGCACGTGCCTGCCCCTCTGTTATAGGGTAGGGTTTAAGGTTTTGGGTTAAGGGTTACGGTTTAGGGTTAGTATCCAACATACGGGTCCCACCCCAGGAATTTGCTTCATCCGTTGCCTGAAAAGCCAGAGAACCGAGCAGCCCCCTCGCGCCTGGCGAATCGAATCTCGCTGCGCCATCGCCAGAGGCTGCCTTCGAATTGGCAGCTCTGGGAAACGTCAACGATCTGGGGGTTTCTACTCCGTTGCTGAGTTCATAAGCCCCAAGAAACTGTACGCTTGCAGTTCTACAAGGGGATTATAAGTATCCCCAGAAGTGTAAAGTGTGCTCACTCAGCTTCTAAGTCTACCTTGGCCCCTTAAGGTGGGTCCCTTTTCAAGGATCTTTAGGGGAATACCCAGAGGGTCCATTTGTAGTACCACTATGGACTTAGGTACCCAAAAATCATACTAAATAGGGTTTTGGGGTACCGAATTCCATAATAGTGTACTACAAATGGACCCTCTGGGATATACAGGCCATATTAGGAGTTTCTTGAGGGGAACCTTTCGGGGATGCAACCTTAGGGGTACGAGTTTTCATCCCTTGACATGATCTCCCAACCCACACTTTTTTGCCCTAAACCCTAAACCCTAAACCTAAACCCTAAACTTTAAACCCTAAACCCTAAACCCTCAACCCTAAACCCTAAACCCTAAACCCTCCTCTCTCCTAAGGGTCCATGCACCTAAATAGGGGCGCGTGCAAGATTGGGACTTAGGGACCCAAGTATATACAAATTAGGTACATGGACCCTTAGGGCTCTCTAAACCCTAAACCCTAAACCCTAACCCCAAACCCTAAACCCTAAACCAGAAACCCTAAACCCTAAACTCTAAACCCTAAACCCTAAACCCCAAACCCTACCTCTGTAAATGAGCCTTCTTACGCTGCTCCTTCAGCCGCGCTTTGGCTTTGCCAGCTGGGCCTTCCGCGTCAAAAGATATCGCAAGGTTGAGGGTTTCTGATTCCTATGGACTTTGGATGTTCCTAAGTGAGGGTTTAGGGTTTAGGGTTTAGGTTTAGGGGTTTGGGGTTTGGGGTTTGGGGTTTAGAGTTTAGGGTTGGGATGTTCTCCCTTATAGGGGCTAGTTGACATAGGGGGTACTATAATCCCTATTAAGGACTAGCAGTAAAAGGGGGAACATCCCACTGGGCCTAAGCCCTCCAGCCACTCGAATCCCTAAACCCTGAACCCTAAACCCTAAACCCTAAATAAACCCCTAAACAGCCCCAAGTCCCAGGCCCCAAGCTGATGTGACGAGATCAGTACTCGTTTTGTGCGGAGTGTCCCCCCCCCACATGTTGTGGCCCATAGTTCCGGATTCCGCCATCAATAATCCCCGTGAAGGCGAAACCTTACACAGGCTTTAGGCTTTACTGTAGGGTTTAGGGTTCTGTGCTATTGCAACCCTAAACACTAAACCCCCCGGAAAAATATCCTGACCCAGAGTCATGTGAGAGTTTCCGGAAATAGGGGACAGGAACCCTTAAACCCTAAACCCTAAACCCTGATCCCCCAAATAGTAGGATCCCCTTGTAAGAAGGACCCCAACATACCCCCCAAGTTACTAAGTTTAGAAATCTCAGATCACCCTAAACCCTAAACCCTAAACCCTAAACCCTGAACCCTAAACCCTAAACCCTAAACCCTGAACCCTAAACCCTGAATAAGGTACCCCCTAATGTCGGAAACCCCCATGTCCCCTCGGGCGGCGGCTGCAGATCTCGGCTGCGCCCTGGCGCACCGGAGGATGCGGGTTTAGGGTTTGATTAGGGTTTAGGGTTTAGAGAAGGTGTTCTCTGATTGGAAGGCTCCAACCAGCAATAAACTACACTTAACCTACTCATGACTCTGTCCTAAGCCAGATCGAGTCCAAGCAGGAAGCATGTGCAGCTTCAGATGCCAGATGCAAGCAAGTGCCAGGGTTGTTCTCTAAATTCGGGTCCCTTTTGGGGATCTTGTTATATAAGGGTGCTCCATGATAGAGGGGAGCCCAAAAAGGGACCCCTAATTTAGAGCACTACACGCATCTCAACACAGGTTGCATGCTGAGCCAAACATTAAAAAGTTTCTGATCCTTTCGTGGCAGTCGTGGCCTCAAACTCAGGCGCAGGGTGTGGGGCTTAGGGTTTCGGTTTAGGGTTTGGGGTTTAGGGTTTCGGGTTTTGGGCTCAGGGCTCAGGGCTCAGGGCCGCGAAGCAAGCGTCACAGAACAGTAAACATCGAGCGCTTGCCTGGCCATGAGTTTTCGGAGGTGT